TTTTTCGGCGACGCTAGAACGAACAAAAATTTACCGTTTCCTTGTAGTACTTGTAGTGAGAAGACTGTGAAGTTAATTTCATTCCTTGCATTGCAGTGGTTTTCGTTATTATTTTGCTTGGTGAATATTTATTTCTGAGGAGTTTCTTTTTATTATTAAAAAAAATTCCACAAAAGGAATGTGTGAAGAAGTGTTACTTTTAAGTGAATTTAAATTTTACTCAAGCTGCGCTTAATATGAATGAAAATACAATCGCCGTTCTTGATGCTGAAACAGGTCATTTTGTTATCAGGAATCAATGCCACGAACCTGAAACACAACAGAATGGAAACGTAATTTTGGATGAAAAAACAGGACATTTTCTCTCAGTGGACTCTGATAACTCTGGCTTTTTCTCAGAATTCGACTTTTCCGCAAGTGAAAGCGAGTATCATCCCAGCACTGATTCAGATCTATCTAAGAATGAATCTTCTCCAGTATTGTTGAATGAATCCTCTGGAGTCACCACAGTAAAAAGAGCACGGAAAGGCCAGGGAGATAAGCAAAACTGGACTAGAAACCGTCAAAAACTAAAGCGAATGCGTGGTCGGGAGTATGCATCGATTAAGAGAAGCAAAAAAGGAACTGGGATAATGGAAATAAGAAAAGAAAGAACTTTGAAAGCTCGGTGCCGTTCGGAAATATGTGCGAAAAAATTTGGTAAGCAGTGCAATGAAATTACAGAAGAAAATAGGAAGGATATATTTAAAGCATTTTGGTTACTGTCATGGGAAGAAAAAAAAACGTTTGTCGTTGCTATGGTGTCCCAAAGGCCGGTCGCTTCAAGAACTACTAGTACTATTTCTCGGCGAGTAAACACATTAGTCTACACTTTCAAAATTTCAGGAGAGGTCAAGTTTGTTTGCAAAAAAATGTTTTTAGGCCGCTGTCTCTTGGTGAGTGGAGCGTGTCCAAATGGATTACTGCCAATCTACATACAAGCGACATTGGCTTGGTAAAGAAAAGTGAAACAGTAAATCGAAAAAGCAAAAGAAATATTGCCAAAGTAAATCATGTGAACTGTTTTCTACAGAATTTGCCTAAAATGCCTTCACACTATTGCCGACAAAGTACAAGTAGAGAATATGTAGACGTTCAGTACAAAACTTGGGCAGAAGTGTACAAAGATTTTGAAAAATATTTGAAAGATAGCAACATTAGTGAGGCTGAAAAGGCAAAGTACAAATGCTTTTTAGACGCTGTACACAAAGCCAATATTAGTATATACAAGCCCAAGAAAAACCAATGTGATATCTGTTTTGCGTACAAAAATAAAAATGTGCCAGAATTTGAATATCAGGATTCATATAAAAAATAAGGAGCGTGCTAGGAAAGAGAAATCCGAAGACAAGGAACTTTGTTGTAAAGGTGATATCCAAATGTTCACGGTAGATTTGCAAGCAGTGCAAACAATTCCTCTACTTTCAACTGGAGCAAACTACTTCAAAACAAAACTGTGTGTGCACCAATTCACAATTTATAACGAATTTGACAAAAATGTTAATTGCTATGTCTGGCATGAAGCCGAAGGTGGCATGGACTCTAATGTGTTTACTTCTTGTTTGTTGGACTTTTTAGAGAAATTGGAAGACAAATCAAAACCGATAATAATTTACAGTGACGGGTGCTGTGCACAAAATCGAAACGTGACACTTTCAAATGCCTTGCAACAGTATGCTATAACTCACCATGCAGAAATTCAACAAAAATACCTGGTAGTTGGCCACACTCAAATGGAGTGCGATTCTGTACATGCCTCCATAGAACGGAAGAAGAAAGGAAGAGAACTCTACGTGCCAGCTGATTTTAACACGGTTATAAACCAATCCAGATTGTCGCAACCTTATCGCGTTAATTACTTAAAACACACGTTTTTCCGCGATTTTTCTCAAATAAATTACTTGAAGTCAATTCGACCAGGCACAAAGAAGGGCGACCCATGTGTTGTTGATTTACGAGCTCTTAAATATACCTTAAATGACGGAGTTCAATATAAATTATGTTTTGATGAAGAGTGGAATATATTACCTCATTATAAATTGCGACCACAAGTGCAGCACAATGATGATTTAGTAATACCGGGTCTCTACAATCAGCCACTACCGATTTCTAAAAGAAAGTATGAAGATTTACAGGACTTAAAACGTATGATTCCAGCAGACTATCATTCATTTTATGACAATTTGCCAACCCAATGATATAATTAAATTAAAATAAATTAAGATGAATTCTATTTTTTTTTTATAATATCCTCTAACAAATAAAACATTAATTTCAAACAAAATATTTAGCCAATTCACAAGGTCTTTTATTTCATGCTATCGTCTGTTGTGCTATGTTTTTTTGAAAAATTTATATGAGAAACCATGGCAACAAAATAAACCATACAACGATACGAAGAATATGAGACTCTTGTGAATTGGCCAATTGTTTTTATTTAATAGTTTCGAAGTCTCTTCGTTGTATACATATAAGTGCAGAAAACGAGTAACTTATAAATCAAGTTTCAAAAATGAAATTATGGTTAATGCAGAAACCTCGTATCTTAAAAAACTCGTTTTATGCGTAAACTAACATATATAAGTATATAATATACCTGTGCACATAGCTATAATTTATGTCTTAATAATTGCATTACCATTTTTACATAAAAAACGACGGTAAAAAAATAAACAGTTTTTTTTGTTTCCTGAAAAGTTACCTTATTTAAGATACGAGGTTGAGAAAGTAAGGCATCGATATGTTACTTTTCATATCAATGCGCCCCAAGCTTTTCGTTTTCAATGTCATTAATTGTTTATAATGGCTTTTGCTAAAATTTCAAAATCAAAAGTTATCAAAACAAATTCTGTGGGACTGAGAAATATTATTTTCTACTTTTTAGTCCATTTATAAAAGCGTTGTATATTAAAAAGTTTTTTTATTTTATTTATTTTCTACTTTTTAAAGGGTGAACACACCAAAACTGCGACACTTAGAGATTACTACCACAAACAAACTAGAAGGCTTTGAAATTATTATTTTTTGTATTATATAACTTGGAAGTTTATATCGCTAGCTTAGAGTGAAAAGTTGCTAAGTCCACTTTTTAAGAAAACTCATATTTTGATATAGGAGGCTAGAGAAATTGAACGCGCATCGTTTCGAAAATTATAAAGGTACTTGTTTTATTTTTTCCTCTTCATAAGCAATAAAAGGAAAATTTGCTAAGTCCAAAAGAAGCACCACAAATCCGATAAGGCCAAAATAATACGAAATCTTTTAATAAATATCGAATCCTTCTGATTCTTATGGAGTTTTGCTTTGCTTTAAACGCGCAAAATGTTTGATTCAAAGTCTTGCGAAATAGTTAAAGAAAATGGCTATAGGAAGATTTTTTCCTCTCCTGTAAAATTTTTAAAATGGGACTTAGCAACTTTTCTTTCTAAGCTAGCGATATGTTGTTAAAATGTTACAATTTTAGTTATTATTTGCTCCATAAGCAAGTGATCGGTATTTTCATCGCACCTGCGACATCATGTTCTGCACGACTGCATCATTGACTTTACGCGATGCGCACAACTACTTTAATTTGCGCTCTTCAATTTTTTTTTACTGTTTCACCTGTTTTCAAGATTCCTTTGACAATTGACCAATATTCCCCAATAGGACGTAGCTCTGGGCTATTGGGTGGATTGCAGTCATGAGGTACAAAATTGATGTTATTTGCATTATACCACGGCAATGTGTCCTTGGCATAGTGGCAGCTTGTCATGTCCGCCTAGAACAGAGGCCTACTACCTTATATGTTGATAAAATACAGAAGACGCCTTTTGAGGCATTCATCCCGATAAACTTGATAATTCATTGTGCCGGATGAGGAAAAAGGGCTGCTCTTACCGCCACAGGAACAACTAGCTTGCCAAACAATGTTGTTTTTTGGAAATTTGGACTTCATTTTTAGCTTACAGCTTTCAGGGGCATCTTGACGACTTGCAGCAGTATACAAATCTGGACCTGCAATATATTTTGAATTTTTAAAGCAGGTTTCGTAGTCCATAACGATGCAGTTGTATTTTTTAATTTAGAATTCATACAACTTCCGACTGCGGGATTTCGTTGTAACATTCTACTTTGCGCCTCGGTCTGGCGCTGTTTGATCTGTAAAACACCTCAATGAAGCTTTCCGCTTTACCTTTTGTACGAAAAACTGCTATCTCCGTACGGATTTTGCAACATAACGCGACAGAACCTTCGGATCACGCGAAAACGCACTGAGGACCTTCCGAGCACTGGTTTTATCACTTTGACCATGCCAACCCCCGCTCTCTGGTTCTCTCGTAACTGCCAGGCCTTATTTGTACCGATTAAAACCCTGTAAACTGTCGAATAGTGTAATCTTTAATTTTTAGCAATTTTACTCAGTTTACGAAAATAAACTATATTGTACGTTACTATTTCGTTTCGTTTATTACTTTAACAGTTCGGTACAATACGAAAAAAAACGGCTGAGTTCACTTTGGCGATAGTACACTACAGTAGTTTAGTAGTTACAGACGAAACAACAAACGAAATGAATCGTGCAGGGAAAATATATTTATGTGTGCACATATATGCAATAAACAAATACAAAACGAATGGCTGCAATGAATAAAAAAATAAAAATGTTTTTTAATTGAATTGGATATGAAAATTTACAGAAAAAATTATTTTTCACGTAATTGAAACGTTTGCATACATATAAAACGTACCCTATGGTACAATTGTCACAAACGAAAAGCAAACGTTTCTCGTTGGGGAAAATGACAGTGAATCTTACAATTTGTTTCTTACTATTTACAAAACTGTACAAAACCACAAATGATATGATGATCGATGAGCAAATGGGAATTGTTTTGTACAGTTTATTTTCGTACCCTGATTTTACTGGTACTTAAGGCCGGATCATTTATAAACTCGTGCAAAATGGTTTGTCCCGTTTCTAACTCAGTTGCCATTTTAAGCTCAACTAGGAATCAAATTCAAATGAAATTTCTTATGGTATTTAAATTTCAAAATATTGAAATCTTTTTGTGTAACTTATAAGCTTCCCAAAGTGTCGCAGTTTTGGTGTGTTCACCCTTTAGTCTTATCTGTACAAAATTTTGCAAAAGATATTAAAACAATTCAACTTGCAGTGAAAGAGAATAGAAGACTATACAAGCAATATGTTGTTTGCTCACATCTATATATATAAAAATGAAATGTCTTTCGTATGACGGCGATGGCTGACCAAACGGTTGAACCGATTTCAATTCTGTAAAAATCACATTTAGGACCTTCTGTGTGAAAGGTTCTTTGATTTAAAAAAATTTGAAATTTTTTGTTGTTGTTGCCGAAAGATGAAGAAAGCTGAGACGTCACGATTTCACAATTTCATAGAGTTTTCCGTATATTGAATGTCACTAAACTACTAAACGGCTGGACCGATTTCGTTCATATTTGAAACATATTTCAGCACCTTGAAGGGAAATATTTCGACTAAAAATTGAATCGCTAGGTGGCGCTGGGGTCGGGATATTCATAAAAATTGCATTTACTTGCTGATTTGGCTCATATTTAGAAAACAATTTAGCCAATTTAAAGGAAATATTTGGACTTGAAACTTACACGATAGGTGGCCCTGTGGCCGAGACATCCCCAAAAATTATTTTACGCTAAGAGAAGGATATATCTACTATATATTTGTGGAAGTATGTATGTATGTATGTATTTGCCAGGTTGCAGCCTAAACGGACGGACGGAATCGAACAAAATTTTGACAGAGTATTGCTATGACACCTGGGCCTATAATAGAGTAAACAAATTGGGATTCGACAAGGGGACGTAGCACCTCCCATAGGCGTGAAATATTTAATCAGCCATCACTTCGAAACTATAAGTCACATGAGCTTGAAATTTAGTATGCAGTCATATTTATGGTAGGTGCTTACAGTAGAGTATATATAAATGACTTTGTAAAAGTGGGCGTGGCACATCCCATAGGCGTGAAATTTGTTATTAATCATAACTTCGGAACCATAAGTCACATGAACTTGAAATTTGGTATACAGTCATATATATGGTAGGTGCTTATGTATGGTATAAATAAATGAGTTTGTAGAAGTGGGCGTGGCACATCCAATAGGCGTGGAATATTTTATCAGCTATAAATCCGAAACTATAAGTCATATGAACTTGAAATTTGTTATTCAGTCATACATATGGTAGGTGCTTATAGTAGGGTATAGATGAATGAGGTTGTAAAAGTGGGCGTGGCACATCCCATAGGAATATTTTATCAGCTATAACTCCGGAACTATAAGCCAAATGAACTTGAAATTTGGTATGCAGACATAACTATGGTAGGTTCTTACAGTAAAGTATATATAAAGGTGTTTGTAGAAGGGGGCGTGGCACATCCCACAGGCGTGGAAATTTTTATCAGCTATAATTTCACAACCATCAGTCAGATGAAATTGAAATTAGGTATGCAGACATATCTGCGGTAGGTGCTTACAGTAGGCTATATATACACGAGTTTGTAAAAAGGAGCGTGGCACATCCCATAGGCGTGGACCCTTTTATCAACTATAACATGGGAACCATAAGTCCCAAGAACTTGAAATTTGGTGTGCAGGCATATCTACGGTAGGCGCTTTAACTAGCGCATATATAACTGAGTGGAACATCCTATAGGCGTGGAAAATTCGGAATCATATGTCACGTGAAATTGAAATTTGGTACGCAGACGTATCTATAGTGAACTAGAAATTTCGTACGCAGCCATTTTAATGGTAGGTACTTATATTAGGGTATATATAAGTGAATTTGGAAAAGAGTGCATGGCACATCCAATAGGCATGGAATTTTTATCAGCTGTAACTTCGGAACTATAAGCCCCCCGAACTTGAAATTTAGTATGCAGATATATCAATGGTAGGTGCTTATATAGAAATGGGTTTGTAAAAGGGGGCGTGGCACATCCCATAGGCGTGGAAAATTTTATCAGCTATAATTTCAAAACCACAAGTCAAATGAAATTGAAATTTGGTACGCAAACGTATCTATGGTAGGTGTTTATAGTAGGGTATCTTAATATATAAATATCCCGTGTCACTGTGTTCGTTTACGCTAATCTCCGAAACCGCTTAACCGATTTCAATGAAATTTTGTGGGTGTGTATTGTTGGTTCCAACTT